TGTGGGCTGTGGGCCGTGGGGTAGTGAGCTGTGGGCCGTGGGCCGTGGGGTAGTGAGCTGTGGGCTGTGGGCCGTGGGGTAGTGAGCTGTGGGCCATGGGCTGTGGGGTAGTGAGCTGTGGGCAGTGGGCCATGGGCCGTGGGCGAGTCCTTGTGGAGGCTTCTCATTCTTCTGCCCTGAGAGAATGATTCATTTCCTTTTCAAATTTATTTAGTTACTCCATCCACTCCCATCATCATCTTGACATTTGAGTCATTCTGGATCAGCAAAAGAAGGCCATTTGGATTTAGAACTTGATATATTCCATTAAATTCATTTCAAGAATTCTCTTTATTCATAGATTAATTGGTTGGTTTGTATTTTTAGTTCCTGAGCCACAGGAGAAAGTTATTAATGCACCAGAAGCATTAAATTTTGATATGTATCTGTTAACCTATGAGATAGAGCATTTGTAACCTCAAGCACTGTGCTTTATTTTAAGGTTAATGTCTAGCTCTATGGGGGAATATACACTATTGCTACATTTTTTTTTTCTTCTTGCCATTTTTGAGAATTTTACTAAAGAGATGGGCTTTATGGATAAATAAATTAAAATTTCTGGGTTTGCAGTGTTAGATACATCTGAGATTCCTCAGTTTTTCCAGCTGTGGCATGAAAGGAATTTCTCCATCCTGTCATAGAACCAGTTTAAATAGTACTACAGAAGCTGAGTAGAAAATGATATTCAGTAAGTTCTTTTGTGAGCTGTGGATCCTATTTGGGGAGTATTTCTTTACTTTGAAGAACAATTTTCAGCTTGTTAACAGTTGAAAGGACAGTCTAGCTGAGAGCTTGTTAATTAAGTAAATAATTATTGTATGCAAATCAATATAAGTAGTTCTAAGCTTTCAAAGATGAGCAGTGTGAAAGATGTGCCCACTTCAATTTTCTACAGACGATAAAGTAGAAAATTATCTTTTCTCTGGTGAGAGAGGAGTAAGCCACAACAGAGGATGTGGCTTGGGTTTTTTATGATGGTCGCTGCTCGTGTTCTCTTTTGAGTGCCTCCCAAGTGGGAGAGAACACGTTAGCATGAGGCCTGGCTGTGGCAGTTTCTGGTCACTCTTGTCCCTTCAGTTCAGTTTTGTGGTTGTTTCTAGCTTGTTCAGTGGATTTTTCCCCCCTTGTCAGCTCATTTGTGACCTGAAGGTCCTTTCTAATTCACCTGTTGTTTTCCTTATTCTGCCAACTAATTCCCCCCACCAAAAAAAAGCATAAAAGAAAAACAAACTGGACATAAACTAAAAATTTGGAACCACAAAGAGATATTCACATTCTTTAAATTTGGCATCATTCAGCATTAACTGTTACTCCAACATGGTAATAACCCTAGAGGCTATTAAAATGATAGGGGCTTTCTCCTTCATGAAGAAATCTAGCTCATGTGTGCTTCCTCTCTTTAGTTTGAGGACATCAGGGTCGGCCTTTGGATTGAATTTCTGTTATACACCTACATCTCTCTTCACAACTTTAAAACTTAAGGATAAAATAGATTCTAATATATAATGCCTTCATGGTTTAAGATCATACTTCAGGAAGATGTTATATCATGCCCATCACTTAAGGTTTCGGGGTTACATACACCAATATACTCGGCTCCTTTTGGAAAGGTATCTGCATTGGTGGGCGACTCAGACGGCTATCCGCTAGGACGCTGCGCAACAGAACCCACAGAGAAAGACTAAGGTGTGGAGTCTGCATCAGTTGTGCCAGTTCTATGTACCTTTTTTTAATATAAATTGCTCTTAATATTGCATGAAGAGCTGTGAGGACATCAGGCAATCTTGCTCTAATGTTTCGCGGTTACGAAAGTGTCTCACTCATACTTAGCTTCGAGCAGCCCAAACTTCTCAAATATAAAAGTTCAAGCTTTCGATCAGTTCTCATTGCCATGATTATTAACTGGTCAGCCAGTCCAAGCTGAGGACTCATGACCGCCCTGACCCCAAGGAACTACCTTGTCGGGATTTTAATAATTCCCTTGCTTGTGCCTAAATCTGGATAGTTTTATCTGGTAAAGAAATCTTTACTGCCAAGAAAAAAAATAACAGAAAACCATTAATGATAATGACAGGTAGATAAGTACTATGAGTAATCTTGGGGAGATACTCCTGGAAAAATTAGATTGAAGACGATAACTTGATTCTGGAGTTTTCTGTTTGTTCAATAATCTTTTCTTAGGATTGGGAACATTCATGAATAATTGACAGGTGTTCTGCCTTAGTTGTAATGGTTAAACATATTTATAAAAAACTGCTCTAACCATTTTCATCTGCTAAAATTTGCCCATATGTAACCTTATCTTTGTTCTCCAATCCTTTAATCTTTTCTGGATTCAGTTACTTATAACATTCAAGCACAGAAAGTTCCTCTCTGAAAAAGGGGTTAGGTTACAAAGGTTAATAAACAGTTAATGGGAAGTTAGGACAGTTATGTTCACTGAAGGATAGTACTTTGGCCACAGCTGATTTTTTTTTTTTTTTTCAGTACCAGGGATTGAACTCAGGATCCTACACTTGCCAGGCAAGCACTTATTCTACTGAGTTATCTCCCCGGGCCTATAGCAATTGCTAAGTACTTTTCTATCTATAGTAGAAATATAAATATGAGTTGGCTTACTAGGCTGGCTCTTGAATTGATTTAAACTACAAATATATAGAACATAAAATTTAAAAAATTTCCATGGCTGTATTTTCCATCTTCAAATTTTTGACTTGGTGTTTCTAGTGTAATTTCTCTCCTTATTTATTCCCTATTTGATGTGATGAAGAAATAAGCAAATAAGCCTCAGGGAAGGGGGATGCTGTAGACAGTGTGGAGAGAAGAAATGGCCACAGTGGCTACCATGTATCACCTAAAATGTTCACTTCCCAATATTTGTGAGATATGCAAAGCAACAGAGAAGTCTGACCCATAAACAGACAAAAAGACAGACAGGAGGTATTACCTGAGGAGGGCCAGATATTAGATTTAACAAAAATTTAAAAGCTACCTTTCTAAATATGTTCAAAGAACTAAGAAATAAAACATTTAAAAAAGTAAAGTATAATAAAGTGTCACATCAAATGGAGAATAAATAAGGAGAGCAATTGCATTAAAAGTATCAAATGACAAATGTGAAGGTAGAAAGTACAGTCGTGCAAATTTTTTAAATTGCATGCCCCAAATAGTTGTAGTTTAAATCCGCTCAAGAAGGATCCTAGGTCAGTGATCCATGTGGAGGGTGTCACTGGGGAGACGGAGCAGCTGTGGTTGGTCAAAGGCATCAATTAGCTTAGACCTTCTCGCTCCCAGGGACCCTCAAATGTACATGTTTCAAGTTTTCCCCAAATGAGGAAGTATATGTTAAAGACATGTAATGTAAAAATTACAAATATATCATCCATTTTTGAAACTCATTTTTGTAATTTTTCATTTAAAAAATATACTGGGAATTCAAAAATAGTTGCAGATGACCTAGGCTTTTCTGATTCTTGAAGACCCCAGGGATGCTGAATGAGAGGATATATATACTCATGAAAAAGCTCAGTGTCTCCTGATTAACTAGAGGTCCATGTATGTATATGGCAGAAGAGTAGGGATAGATTTGACTAAACGCCAGTTGGGTTCAAATGGTAAATACCTCATGTGAACCACGCTAAGGAATATGGTTTGTTTTTGGGAGAATGAGAAACTGCTAACATCTGATATACAAGGGAGAGGGATGCGGGTCATCTTTGTGGCATTAACAAAGAGCTCAGCTCTATAAACCATTTATTTTTTCACCTTTCCTGAGGACTGCAGGATAAATAAATTTCTATTCCAGCTTGTATTTCTGTCCTGCTCCAAGGTTTTCCCAGTTGCAAAATACAGCCTGTGCTTGTGGAAGGGACCAATCTAATTCTAGAGAAGAAGCAAGACTCAGCTAAACTGTGCACTGGGTTTAAAGCTTCTACTCAGTTGTGCAATTCTTCACAGCTGCCTGCATTACATGGTCTGAAGCAAGGCATAGGCCAATTCCAATAGCAATAAGGACAGGAAAGGGAGTGAGAGAAAAGAGTAGTCTACCAGAGGAGTCTGTCTTACAGTGATACCAGGCTTGGCTACAGAAAACAGACTAGAGGGGGAAGGTTGAAGCAAGCTAAAGAAAAGAGAGGCCTTCCATTAGCCTGAAATTTGATTTATAATTTTTTTTTTCATTTTAAAAGAGCCCTGGGGACTCTTTGAAATGATTAAAGTGGTTGAAACATAGCCAGGTGCTCCATGTGTGAAGCAGTTTTTGTCACATGAGCAGTGGACACTGGTGCCATGTGCAGCTTCATCTGAGTGAACAGCAGTGGGGAAGGAAAGGATGCCTTGGTTGTTGATTCCATTGCCAGCCACCACCCCTCTCTAATTCTGAGCACTGTCCCTGGTCCTCCCCAAAACTTTATGGTTTGTGTAGAATTCTTACTGTTACCTAAAGAATAGCTAAAAATGCCCCATCCCCAAATCTTTCCCT